CGTCTTCTGGCAATTGTGATTGCGTTTCTTTTCTTTTTTTTAGCTTTTAGGAAACAGCAGTTGCGAAACGGACGCTTCACCGCAGGCAGAATGTGCGAGCCACCGCGGTTACACGAAAACGCGCTCGTTCCACCTCGCGACGGAGAGGCGATTTCGGCGGCTCGTTCTGAGCGTGCGCTGTGTGAGCACCGGCCAACTCGCATCGCACTGAGCAGGCGCTTTCGCTCTTTGGGGTTTATGCGCACGCGCAGTGCCAGCGCTGCTGTGGCCGAACGCTTTTGGGTTTAGCAACAACGCCGAGATGCAAGATCCTTTGCTTTTCTTGTTCTGGGTTGCTCGCTGGAGCGGGCGTTTGGAAAAGCGGGAGGGCGTCCCGCCATCTGCCGCGTGCCATGTGCCGCTCGGCGCGTGCCCCGCTTGTGCCTTTTCTTCTCCTCCTCTCCCCCGCGCCCCTAATTCCCCCCCGCGGTCCCCGCTTTTCTTCGCCCCTCTTCCTGTGTCCCCCGTTTCGGAGGTGCACGCTCCAGCTGATACCTCGCTGCAGGAACAGATCTTTTTTCTTGGTTTGGTTTCTACTTCTCTCTGCTAGGTGTTGTTAGCTTTGCGACTGATTGCTTTCGTTTTCCAGTTCTGGGGTCCTGGCCGGGAAAGGTTCTGTGTTTTGTGCGTCCTCGTTCTCTCTTTTCCTCCTCGCTTCTTTCGCCGATCTCTCCTTCGTTTTTTTTTCTCCTTTTTGCAGCTTGATATTGTAATTCTCGTTTGTGTTTCCATCGTCGGACTGTTTCGCGGTCGCGCTCGTGTTCCAAAATAGCTCTCCCGCGGCTTTAAGCATCGAGAATAAGCGATATATATATATATATATATATATATATATATATATATATATATTGTCTGTTTGAGTTCGTTTAGATGCTGCTTTCGTCTATCAATGGGTACGCGTTTGTGTTTTTTTACTTGTTTCATTTGCGATATCCTCTACCTTTATCTTTCTATCTCCCCTTTGCTACATTTGTCTTTACTATATTTTTGTTTCTCTATTTTTCTTTCACAGCTTAGCAAGCCGGCACAAAGCGCTGGTTGACCCCGCTGTTTTCAGATAAATGCCTATTCGCTTTATCGATGCTAATTAAGGCTTGCCCTTGTCTTTTATGTTCTTCCCTTTATATTAAGGCCGTTCCAAGCCTACGCAGCACTCCCGTACGTGCCAGTACGGGTGCGCTGCACGTATCCGTACGTGCACTGGCGATGATCGTTACCGAGTGGAGCAAACCCGACAAACGACGGTTATAACTTATTTCGAAACTACCGCAAAAATGGGTAAAGGCAAATCGTTACTGTATTTTTTTTTTTTTTTTTTTGGGGGGGGGGGGGGGGTTATGAAGACGTATTGTGTGGTTAGTTCACTTGTTCTGGAAGCGCAGACACGAGAGCTGCGTCTTCCCTAAACTTGGGGAGCCCAGAATGTATCGTGCGTTCATTATGCGCATGCTTTGTTATGGGGAGGTTTGGATGGTTTCGGATGCGTTACACGCATGGATGGATGGATGGTAATGGCTATACCCTTTGTAACTGGCGGCAGCTTGCGCCACCTAGCAACTCGTGTGCTTCCGCGAGGTTACCAGACGGATCGAGAAAAGTTTCCTTTCATTCCACACCCGTGACGTCGTGAGATTACGTGGGGAGCCATGCTTTGTCACTCGGGAGCCAACTGCGCGCGGCCACGGGTGCAATTGCTTCGAGGCGGGGTCCGATCAGGCATTAAAGAACAAACTGCAAGTAAAAAAATATGTTGGTAGTTATTTTCGAGCTTAAGGTTTTATTTAAATCATCACAGTAGACTGGTGTCATTTAAATTATATTTTACTCTCCACTCTGGGTGCCGGTGTATTTTCTGGTGGCAAGGGATCAGAAGGAACTCGGTCGTAAGCAAACGCAAGTGACAGGTGTGCCGATTCGTCGCGAATCGAACGCGCGTCGGAATGGAACTGGTGTCGGGCCCTTTAACGGGGGAGGGACGGCCAATGTTATGCGGCCCGCCAAGTGCGATGGCAGCGCCCCCTCCCGTGTAAGGCAGCGCGTCAATATTTGCTCTTCCACCATCCCTCCCCGGTTCGGGTTGGCGTGTCGGTTCCGAGCTGCGGGTTTTACGGACTGATCGCTTTTTACGAGTGGGGACCGCCAGTGTCCCCGGCGTTGTTTACGACCACTCGGCCCGCTTTACGACGCCTTGCCCGCCCTCACCCGTGCAGCCCACTTTTCCCGATTCCGAGATCTGCCCCGCTCTCCTTCCCGATGGGATGCTAACGAACCTCTACCGAAGGGGGCGAGGGGCCCGCCGGATGAAGCGGGTTGTCCCCCAACGGAGGAGACGCGAAGCAGCGAAACGGGGAACCCGCGCCAGTCCAGAAGTGGAGCTGGAGTGCTTCTATGACGGCCACATTGAGCAACATCGAGGCACTTTGTGCGGACGTTTGGCTGGCGGGGTGCGACACAGCGGGATCGAATGACGGCGAGTCAGCGGCTGATCGGTGAGGAGGCCCGCGGTCGGGTGAAGATGCACAGAAGGGGACCAGGCTGCGTGGGATCGGTCCAAGCGCGACCCGATCGGGTATTGTGGCACGGCAAGAGTCCGGATCTTTGGACGGATCACCGGTCGGCCGGGCATGCCGAGTGTTGGCGCACCTGGCGTCCTCCCACGAACGCTGATGTGAGCGGAGGTGGGGAAGCGGCTTTGTTGTTGGAGTGCGCGAGCAGCTCGCGGGCGCTTGCCGGGAGCTCTCCGTCGAGAGGAAGGGCCACTGCCGAGCCGTCCGTCTGGCGCGTGCCGCGGCTACTTTCTTGCCCCCCTCGTTCTTGGTCCTGCCCCAGCTGCTCTTGTTCCTCCCTCCGTGTGTCTGCGGGAGTCTGTGTTGTTTGGTTTTCCCGTCTGCGGTTTTCGTCTCTCGTCTTGCCACGCGCCGCCTTGGGGGTTTCAGAAAGCGCGTTGGGAAAGCACGGTGGGCGGGGTCAGCGAAGAGGGACCTTCTCCGCGCATTGCTAGGGGTCGTCTCCTGACCGCGTCTGCCCCGGCTGCTGCGGACAGATCTTACTGGGGGGAACCCCCGAAAAATGAGACCGGAGAGGAGGGGCGGCGGCAGTGACCTCGGCGTCGAAGACCAGGTGCTCGAAGGGAACCCCGGGTCCTTCTCCCGCGAGGGGCCCCCGTGCGAGGAGGGCTCTCCCCCCGGCGGTCTTTCTGCCCGGTTGCTCCTCGCATGCTGCGGCGCGTGCGCGCCAGATGTCCGACCGATGTGCGCTCTCGCGCGCGCCGTCGGCTTTCGGGCCGCTGAGGAAGTCGAGACAGGTGGAGGAGGCCCTTTTCTTCCCCCTCGCCCCCGGGGATAAAAACAAGAAAGACGCTGCCCTTTTGTTGCTCCGGTCGGTCCGGTCGGTCTCGGTCCGACTCCGGCTGCTCGGACCACGGGGAGGAGGAGGTCTCCGGGAGGCCAGCTGTTGGCCGGAGGTCCGGACGAGGCCGCCGTGGTCGCCCATGCGGACACCGCGGCGGTGTCCAGGTGTTGGACAAGGAGCGCTGTCTCTGTGGGGGCGGTCTTAGCGCCCGGTAATTGCGCGCGCGCGAGGCCCCCGTCGCTGTTGAGGACCCCTTTGTTTAGCGCTGCGACAGAGCACACTGGCGCCGCCTCGACAACTCGGCGGGCAACGCGGGCACCTCGGTCGGGGGCGCCCCTGGCGACGGTGGCCACGGTCCGTCGGCGCGATTAAATCGGCCGGAATTGAGCCCGACTGACGGAAGGAGCGCCGTGCGAGGGGCGCCCCCCTCGCTGGCCAGTTATTTAAAAAAAGAGGGTATATGTGGGCTTCCTCTGCCCCCGTCGTACGCCGCCGTCCCCTGTTGTTAGACTCATAATGAGACTGGTAAAAGCGTCGGGATTGTGCGGTCGGCGTTGTGCCTTGTTTGTCGGTGATTTATTTGCGAGCGCGGTTCCCAGGTCCGGTGTGTCGTGTCCGGTCGCTCTCTGGCGTGCGCGAGCACAAAGCGGCGCTGGGCGACTCCCGACGCGCTCATCGGCTGTTTTCCTCTCTCGCGTCCGGGCCGCCTTCGTGCAGAGAGCGTCGTGGCCGGCTCGTGGGACTGCCGGGTGCGCGGAGGACGCGGCTGGACCGACCATTCGTTCCGGGAGAACGCGGGTTGAAGCGAGGTCGTCGGCAGACAAAGCGGCGCCACTCGCCGTCGCACGACCGCTGACGGAATTCTGCCAAGTCGTGGCCTTTTTTTCTTCTTTTCGGCGACATGCGGGCTCTCCAGTTTCGAGGCTGTGCGTGCCTTCCAGTAGGGCCCGGGGATTGCAACTTGGCCTGGTGTGGCCCACTCCCAGAAAGCCGCAATCCCCCCACACTCTTTCCACTTGAGCAAAGGCCGGGGAGAGGCGAGCCCTTCCTTTCCCGCTCAGGTGGACAGGGCTTTGTGGGAGCTGCTAAGCGAACCCACTGTTGGGAGAGACGGCATGCCACGTCCAGCAGCAAAGTTTTATGATACGGGTTGCCCCATAGGTCGGCAATCGTTCACTGCGTCAAAACGGAAAAATACCTTGTCACTATGGTCTGCATTTCGCGAGGTAATTCTCGCTGTTTTATCAATGCGACTCTCGCCTGCGCAAAACGTGGCATCTTCTCCGAGAGCATTCCTATACTCGGAGAAGGTGCTAGGAGCCTAGTAAGGTGACCCCTGTTGTCACCTTTTGCCTCAGCTCTGGGGCAATTTCGTATTGTTTGAAATTTGAAATAGACAGTACTTCTGCTTTCTTAAGTCTATAGAAGACGCTTTTGCTTTCACAGAGTTTATATTGCCTCACGTGGCAAAAGAAACTTTGTGGCACACTTTCATTCATTGTCCTTCCGTGTGTTTTGGGAATTGTCAGCTGGAATTGTGATCGGCGCTAAGATTGAGTGTTCTCTCGTATGTTCGTTAGTCTCAGACATGAATTCCTCTTGCCTCGCAGATGGTTGTTCTTCGCGATCCACTCCGAAGCCTCGGGCGCCCCAGTCCACGGTGCGGCCCAACATCACATTCCAGACGTACACGTGCCCGGAAGCGTATGCAAAGTGGTACTGCCTCAACGGAGCCACCTGCTTCGCCATCAAGATCGGAGAATCTATCCTCTACAACTGCGAGTGAGTGTTCTCACGTTCGCCTCTTCAGTGAGAACTGCACGCCAGTGTCCTTGGCATTAGCAAAAAAAGTAATGAAATGTGTTAGTCAACTTTCCGAAGGGACGGGGTTGGTCAGGATGGTGACAGCCAATGATGGTGTTTGCCCGGTGGAAGTCCCCCGGGAACTCGAATAAAAAAAAAAAAAAAAAAGAAACTAAAGGTTGTTTTCTCCCGCTGGACACATTATGACGTTGGTTGGTTTACAGTGGCCAGTGTGGCCACGTTTATTTCAATACAAAACGACAACAAGTCAACGGTAATTTACAATAAAAAACTCCCAAAATTAAAACCCATACTTTAGTTCCCAGTCTCAAGAGCCCAATCTCCCTGATCTCAAAAGCCGAATCCCCGAGAATCCTCTCGGCGCCCCTTTTCTAGACTCGTAGGGGCCTCCTTTCCCCACAGAGACGGACCAATCACTTCAAATCTGCCCATTGTCCTGTGCTACACTCTTACCCAATGATCAGCGAGCTGTCAATGTGACCCCCCTCCGACACCTCAACGGTCAAACCCAAATTCTTTGTAGAGTCACTACATGCTTTCCTCGCCGCCTTGCTGGCGCCACCCAGTTAAGCTATGGCGTCGATTAAAGGCAAAGTTTCTACACTAAGCGGCGGACATAAGCGCACTTGCTTAAAAGCCACAAGTGCGGACAGAAGTACCTCTGTCGAGACACGGGTGTTCCGGCGCCCCAAGCTGAAACCCAATCCGTTTGTTAACGACCGGGGTCCGACTCGTCTTTGCCAAGCCCCGCGGCTTCTCGAAGCCCCCAGCGTGCGGGGGCAGAAGACTACTTCCCGTTCATGCTCCCCCACGAGTGTATAGCAAACACCCAGAAATGCCGACACAAACGTAAGCAGATAAAGAAAACAATGCCGACGCAACTATAGAAAGATAAGCTTTTCTAAAACAAATCTTGCTTATTACAAACAAAATACTTCGTTACTTAACAGTGTTACTCGTTACTTTCAAGTAAAAAAAAAATCTGTTGGCCACTTTGTTAGCTTGAAACAAAAAGAATGTGTTGCTGTTACCGTTAACCATAAAAAGTAATGCACATTACTTTTCATTTATGAATTCAACCTTTTCACTGTTTTGACTTTACAGGTATGCATAGTTACCATATTTAAAAAAAAAAATTAACATGTGTAATATTTTTGTAATTTCCTCATCTTTTTTGCGATTCCACCTGACTACTTTCGAAGAAAACTTATAAAAGGCAGGAGCTTAAAAACATAAAAAATCGCTAGAAACAACAAAAAAAAATTAAGTAATTTTTTTAAATTTTTTGGAAAGAAGTAATGAGTAAGGGTTAGTGTTGATAGAAATAAGTAGCATATGTATCTTATAGGGGAAACTGTTTTTATAATGTAATGAGTATGTTGCTATTTTATAAAAAAAAAAGTAAAGTGTTACCAATAATGCCGTTACTTGTAACATGTTAGCGCCTATACCGCTGCATGGGGACCTCAGATATGGTCGGGGACGCAACGCCATATTTTAACATCCAAAGAACGAACTGAAAAGCCCAGAGCTGTGAGGTTTGCTCTAATGAAGTAGTAGAGTTGCAGTTACTTTTTCAAGTGTATTAGTTACTGTTACTCGCGGGAAGTTACGAAATTGTGTTCCAAATACTTTCTAAATATCCCACGGCATCAGGCTGAGCTAAAAGTTATTTTGCTTATGGGGTAAAATTGGAAGCTCGAAAGGTTCTGGGACTTTCATCTCATGTGGCTTCTGTTAGAAGCTGACTTCTGTTAGAAGCTGACTTCTGTTAGAAGCTGAGTTGAATCTTTAATAATGTGGTTTTTAGTTGCGTAGCCCTTAACTTTGGGACTCCCAACATTCGTAAAATTGTGGGTCGCTTTGCTTGTAGATGGCTGCAGTGGGAGCCTGGGTGACATGAAATTCCCCCTCCTCCTAGTAACGAGCTGCAGCTATATTTTCATTTGCTTAGAGAATGAAATGTGCCTGTACTGCAATCCTGAACCGGACCGGTCTTCGTCCAGCTCATTGCCAATTGATGGGGAAGCATTGGTAGACATGCTTTTTCGAGAAATTAGAGTAGCACCCACATGCTGCGAGCGAATATGTTTCTGAAGATGATTTTCAAGAAAACATGATTACCCATGTACACCAATAGTTTCGCCCGCAATTTCGTAAATAAGTGCTCTGTAATTTCCAACTCCATTCAGCCATTGCACTGAAGGAATAAAATGGAAACCTGACTGCTCCCGAAATTTCTGTTTGAAAAGTGCAGGTTTTCTGTAGCTTTGCTATGTTTCTGCTCTGTGCAGTGTCAAGACCTTTGTTTTGAGGTGCTAGTTGTTTTGTATTGGAGTCTGACATTCTGGCATCTGTGCTCTTCTCCAGGTGTGCAGACGGGTACATGGGGCAGAGGTGCGAGTTCAAAGACCTCGACGGAACTTATCTGCGTGAGTACTCATTGATATTCTCCCCAGACCTGACGGCGTTAATAAACCTTGTTTTAGCGCACGTTTTGCATCACTCATTTTATCAGTCTGAGGCAGTGGATGACTTTGGTGCCTTACTTAATATGTAGGACTAGATTGCAGCATTTGCACGCACGGTGCTTTGCAAAGCTTGGCTCTACAGATGTGTAATGCCTTATATAAAACTTGGTCTTCATTATTTGCAAACAACTGCAAGAGCATCGTGAAATGAAGGTGTTCATTAATTTTGAAGGAAGAAGAATCTTCTTAGCCTCATTAGCTTTTCTTTTTTATATTTCGCAATCCTGCACAGATAATGCCATTGCTGTAAATGATGCCATCACAAATTTTTATCAACTGGCTCCTGCTACATAACTGTTAATATATTTCGATGTGCTGTTGCGTGCATCAAAGGAACAGCTTTTAGATGCTGCTAAGCTATACTCCGTTTCACTAGTTGCGTGCAGTAAAGGCGAAGGCAACGCCAGGCAAAGAGAGAAAGGGCAAGCACTAGGAAGGTGGGATGGGAGAGGAGGGCAATGGAGGGTGAGGGGGTAAAGGAAGAGCAGTAGCAGTATTAATGTTGGAGAGGAGAGGACGTTTCTCTCCTCCCCAGCTTTCCTAGTACTTGTCCTTCCCCTCGCCTGGCATTGCCTTCGCCTTTACTGCACGCAACTAGTGACACAGAGTATAGTGGTGGCTTTCAATCTCCCTACTTCATTAACATTAACAGCAAAAAGCGTGGTGAACAAAATGTGCTTACGAAGGACTGGTTTTGCGGGGCAACACACAAAAGCTCGCAGATTGACAGCCAGCGGGAGCATGTTTGCATGCCATGGTGGCTAACGTAAACTCTCTATCAAGTCTTTTTTTTTTAGATTTAAAGTTGTTTTTGCCCAAACTTTTGTCTTTGGCATGGCTTTTCGTTTTGCCGCATTCAGTACACTATCGAGGTAAATCGGGCTCGTAGTCGAAATGTTACGAGCCTCGTGCAACCTGTAACTATTGGTCTCTAATCGGTGTTCAAATTTTGTTCTTCTTTGCAGCAACGCGGCAGCGTGTACTTATAGAAAAGGCGGGACTTGCAGGCGGAGTGACGCTGGCCGTGCTACTGGTCTTTCTGATCGTCGTCTTTGTATACCTCTACTACAGGTGGGTCCCTCGCTGGTATTTTGTGAAATTGTACGACTATGATCTCGTCAAATTCATTTGGCCAAAAAAGAAAGGCCACGGATGAAAAAGAAGTATTCAGCGGGAAGGTGGGCCGCCACGCAGCAGGCAATGTCAAGAGGTCACGATTAAGAGAGAGAGAAAATATTTATTTTAACACGCCTAGACTGGCACTTCAACGATTAAGAGCCCTTGCTTCCTTTCGTTAGCACAGAGCCGTAATGGAGGGCCCCAGAAAGAAGGCATTGCGCGGCCGAATCGAATCAGAGCAAACTGAGCTGGCATCTAAAGACTACCCGCCAGCAGGCGAGCGTCCGGCATTCTCCGTCTGCAAACCGGATCATGGGCTGCTCAACGCTGCAGAACGCCGCTTTTCGGGACTCTCACATACACATTCTGCGCACATTCTTTGCCAGTTTCTTGCAGTGCAAGGGTGACTGTTGTCGTCGGCCAGTTAGAGGCCGCTGTGGACTGCTGTAATTGAGGGACGTTCTGTGGCTCTGTTGTGCACAGTGCGCAAAGGCGTGCGAGGCATTGTACCGGGCTACATTGACAAAATGACACCCTGTTTTTCGGACCGCGTAAATAAACTATGCATCCCAGCAAGCTGAATTTTACGCTGTTTCATTGGTGCCTTTCGTGTCGCCGACATGTTTTCTGAAGGTCAAATGAATGATGAGACATATATGGCTTTCGCCTTAATAAAGACGTTTTTGTCTAGTATAGAACCCTGCGAAGCATCTTCAGCCACAACATCTTTTGCATAGATGTTAGAAAACATGTGCCATACGATAGACTTTGGTTATGTAGGAGACTTTGAGAAGCCTTTATGTTGGGGCAACCTGTCATGAGGTTTTCGACGAAAGGATGCAATTAGAGACAATACTTCAATCCTCGATAGTCTTGCGAGGTGACATTTATGTAGCTCGGCGCTAATATATTTGGAGGGAACCTGGTAATTGCATAACTGCTCCCAAGAATGTACTCATGGGAAACCTTTGACAAGCTCAAGTTTTCTCACGGATAACTGTAAGCTTGGCCATAACATTTTAGAATTACCACTAACACAATTTCTTCAGACTTTTAGCATTGTTCAGCAAATTTTTGGCTTTGATGGCAGGGAAGATTTTCCTTGCTTTTAGTACTTTTCTTTCTTTGGTTTTAGGCCTACTGGGTATTTTAGTAACTTCGAAGTAAGTGTCTTTTACCCCTGAGCCGGCAAGCGTTAAAAGGACTCTGAACCGAAATTTGGAGCTCAGAAAACAATGCTGGAGCGATAGGCTTGATGCTGCAAACCCCGCATACAACAATATCTCTAACGGATGGCCATATTTTTTAAAAAAGAAGTGTGCGATTGAACACAGCCAATGAGGCCGACGAGACATGTGACGTCGTGATTCTCATCCCTTCTCTTCGCTTTGTCCCCCCCGAGCAGGTCAATCAAAACATGAAAAAGAGAAGCGAGGCTGCTTTCCTTCATTCTCAACTTTTCCAAGAAAATCGTGACATCACATTCCTCGCTTGATCGCGCCCTTCTTTTTCAAAAATACGGCCATCCCTTTGGGATTTCGATGTATAAGTGATGTTTTGGAGTTTGTAGCATGTCGTTCAAAACTTCTGTGGCCTTATTTTCTGCAATCCGAATTTCAGTTCAGCATCCCTTTAAACCTAAAAACGTAAACAAACCTGTTTTAAAAAATTTTGAATTTTTCAAATCTTGGTTTGGATGTCACCGTTTGATTGCTGCATCCCTTTTGTTTTGAGCCTTACCCAGTTTTCCCTTAGACAATGCCAAATGTGGAAGTTTCAACTAACTCTCTCTGCTCCTCTCTTCCTCCAGACGTAGAAAAGACAAAACCTACTTTGATGCGCCCGAGGAGCCCAAGCTGTTCTTCTGTGGCAAGCCGAGGAACGGAACTCGGGACATCCATCCTGTCCTCAAGCAGACGGTGAGTCCACGTCCCTTCGCCTGTCGGCCTGTCTCGGTTCAAGCGTGGATAACCATGTGTGCAGCCACTTAGTTGTAAACTACTGGAAAGCTATCGGGTGCATAACCCAAAGCCACGAGAAACTTTATTGGGAGAAAGGCAGACGAGTGCTAAAGTCATCTAGAGAAACTGCTTGAAAGGTGTGCAAACATTGTGAGGCGTTTTTGTAGCACCGTCGAAAAACTTAAAAGAGGTGCAGTCTCTTGATTGACCGCGCAGACTTTGAAAATAATTCGAAATTTGCTCGGAAACTTGTAAAAAGCCGTGCAAAGCTGTCGATAAACTCGTTTAGTTATGACCGTCTATGGTGCTTCTGTGAGTTGTTCTCTGTCTAAGAGTTCTGACATTTGTAAAAAATGTAGCATTTTGGCAGTCCATCCCACCAAATTCGCCTTAATAATTTTGGTTAAAGGGGCAGATTTGGCAAAGCGCTATATGAAGTCTAAGAAAAGCTGTTTTTGTCGCGAAGCCACGATTCCCTGGCTGTTTGAAATGGCTATCCACTCTGTGCACCTCTCAAGGTTTTGTGAGACGCTTGGCTGTTGTATGTGCAACTCCTCTGCCATTTCTTGTTTTTTGGGCTTTGTCGCTCAAGAATCATGAAGGTGACCACCTTTTCATTGTTGTTTGGATTCTCACTCCTACCGTGCCACATCGGTCCAAATGAATTGGGCCCTCTTTATAGTAAATTGCAAAAATCAGTTTTACGTGCTACGACCCTCTAATATAGCACGAAATTGTGTCTAGGCGTTGCATTTCTTTTGAGAGATAATCAAAAAAGAAACTTCAAACTCGAGGAAGGCCGAACGTTCGTTTGAATAAAGCAAAGTATTAATTATCAGGAGTTTCCTCCCATAGAGATGCATAGGATGGACACTGCATGTTAGTTTGAATTATCTGCGAGTTTGAAGTAATGAAAAACAACTGTATAACGAAGGGTGTTTTTTCTTTTTGTTGTTTTTTTTAGTTCGGGGTTTCTTTGAATTAAATATACATTGTCTGAAATTGGCAAATTATGACATTTCACCGAAAAGCCACGCTTACCCGGTAACATTTCGAACCTCAACTCTGTTGGTGTCCAACAGGCCCCTCCCAATGCATTTGTAAAATGGCTAATCGTCCATTTGAAATACAAGGTTTATTCCAACTCTTTATAGCGAACTGTCTTTTTTCACCGCAAGTAAAACCAACCGCTGAGATACACTTTTGAGGAATACCTCCGCACCCAGGCACCGATATTTTGGGTTAGTCTTACGGCATAAAAAGTGGTTTGGAGGTGGCAATACTCGCCACACCCATAACCCGTCTCCCTTTGTGTCTTCTTGTGCAGGATCTCGAGCGAGGACCCTGCGACCGGTCGAGGCGCACCAGCAGCTAAGGTGCCCGGCGGAGGGCCCCCGCCACCGCCTTCGTCGTCGCCGCGAGTCCGTGCGTCCACCCTCCTCCCGAGTGACGGCCGACGGGGACGCTCCTCCGCTTCGTCGAGTGATCTGCCGCGCCGAGACGAGGAAACGGCGCTACCGTTGCGCCATTATTATTATTTAAGTTTTTTTAGGACAAACTCTTCCAAAACGCCGCCCTCGCAGAGACTCGCCGGTGCAAGGATCGGCCGACCCTCCCCCGTTTGTTGGACATTTTCTGGGGGAGGCACCTCCGCTCCACGGGCGCTCGGTTGGCGGGGTTACGGGTGTTGCGCGTTGTTGTAGGTCTCAAAAGGCGGCAAAGCCTTTGCGTTATTCCGACCATTTTTTTTTAAACCCCCGGCATTGAGAACATTCCCACGTGCCGTCTGCCCTTCTGCCGGCGGTGCCCCGGGGGAGGCTCGTGTGTATTGCGAGCCCCTCTCTGCCGCTCGCTTGGAGAACGTCTGACCGTGAAACCTTCTCTCGTTTCTGTGCCGATCCGGAGTGTCCGATGAGAATGTCTAAAGGGGGAGACCCCGCGGTTGCGACGAGGCGGGGGAGGACGCGGTTGACTGCTTTCCAGGGGAAATTCTCGCTAGCGCATTCGACCATCGTGCTGCCGTCCTGTTGAGTGTGTGTGTGTGTGCGTGTAGATAGTGTACATACGGTGCGAGTTCTTTGCGAAGAAAAAGAGAAAAAAACAATCACTGGCTGCCCTCCTTTGTTTCTTGTTGTCCTCTTTGTTTGTGTGGCTGGTCCCTTCGGAAGGAAGAAGCGACACTAAACGGAGCTTCGGGGCAGCGGCGTTCGTTGGCACGGTTCCACGTGTAATTTATAGGGGGGGGGGAACAAAAATGGCCGCCCCTTCCTCGATTTCCAGCCTCTCTCCCTCCTTCTCTTGCCCTTCTTCGGGACAGTGAAAACAGAACGGAGGAATGCGGAATCGACACCGAATGTGTCCAGTCCTGGCTTCTAAGCAACATTCGTTTGCCGTTTTTTTTTTTTTTAAGGCTCGGGAGAAACTGCAACACTTGCACACATTTCCACGGAGGGGGGGGCTAATCCTTTCAGTTCCTATTGTCGTCGGGCTTCTGTATATTTAAAGAAAGAAAAAGAAAAGAGGATCTTGTTGAAAATGGATGTAATCTAAAGAAGGAAGCAATTGTTTACACTATGTTATTGTTCATGTTTGACGTTCTTCTGGAAGCTGTGGTGACCCTGTGAAAAGCTTTTTTTGCCCGAAGCGTTGAATCCGAGGTTGTGCAGTGGCCACCCTTCTGTCCCAAGCAGTTGGCTGGCCTGTTTTTCATTGACGTTACAACTGCTTCACCAGTTCAAATCTCTGCACCAAGCCTGTTAAGCAGACTGTTGGATGACTTTAGCGAAACCAAAAGAAACCTTGGGAATCTGAGTGAGCGCACTGAATTAGGGAACCTTAGGCAACATCACGTATTGAATGGCTGTGCATGATTTTATCTAGTCCTCTGTCTCTCCTTGCAGACTGGTTCAAATGGTCCCGTGTATTGTATAAAACAAATGCTGAACCCCTCGCTTCTCCCAGCCCTTTTCCTCCAGTGACTTTCACTCGAAAATTGTCCGCCCTCTATTTGAAGGCTCAGACCAAAGCTGATGATAACTTAGGTGCATCTTGTTTATTTATGAGGAAAAAAACGTCGTGATGTGTAGATTTGTTTTTGGACAGGGCTACAAGCCCTCTGTCCAAGGTCGCAGAGAATAAAAGTCATTTGTAACAACTTGTGTTTTGCATTTATTTTTCCCTTTTACAGTGTCTTTGTATGTGGGATACATGGGGGGGGTCTGACTTTTTGTATTATTATTTTTAAAATACTGCGCACCGAGTTGGGGTGCATTACAGGAATGGTTTATGTAAGTCCCATTTTTATAAAGTCCTGGGAAAACTGGAAACTAGTTGCTTTGCACATGCTTTTTGGGTGCACATCTGGGCAAAAACCAAACTACTTTACAGGCATTTTGTGGTCTTGTTGCAATCAGTGAAGAATGATGCACAGATATTGTGGACACTTTGCAGTGGAAATTCAAACTTAAATATACTTTAGTCACATAGTTTGTTTTCTGCCAAGTGGAGTTCTACGAACTTCGGAAAGAAAAGGTATAACAATTTGTACTTGTCACCTCGAGAAAGAAGCAAGTCTTGCCTATAGTTCGTGCTCTATGTGAAGTAGTTCTCACAAACGTCAGTTGTCCAAAAAAAAAAAAAAAATGTTTCCTTTTGCATTGGAAACGTGCATTTTCATGAACTAACATTGGCATCCGAATTGAGCACAAAGGGAAATTACCCCGAATTGAAGCGTGCTGGTAAGTTAAAGGAAGAAAAGGGTGAAGACGACAAAACATCTTTCCAGCTGGCAGCTCAGACGTTTACAAGTGTTCAAGGTGCCACTTGAGAAGATGTGTTGACTTGTGCTTTTTCTGCTGTCCTTTTATCGCTAAGAGAGAATGTGAATTTAATAACAAGGCTCTTTACACCGCAAAACTTCGTGTAAATGATGTGACGTCTTTTGAGGTCTTCGTTTAGTTATCGCAACATTTAATCTACTGGCCGCTGTCGTTTGAACGAGCAGGCTACAGTGTGAACGAGTTTGAAAGAGCTGACGACATTTTGAACTATCAGACGGCCGTTTGAACGTGAAGGCTCACTGAACGTAGTTCGCGGGTGATCCGGGCAACTTCCCGGTTTTCCCGCGTTCATGTTAGAACAAAACAAATCCGACGTTCCGTCACAAGCAATCGCGGTCCAACGGTGTCTAAGCTGCTACAATATATATACTATATATATATATATTTATTTTTCTTTTTTTTTTTTTTGCTTTAGTATGTGCGAAGGGTAGGGTAGCGCGAATTTTCGAATAGTAGTATTAAGTATTAATTGTCCGTACTTTTCGAAGTGCTGATCGTGGCGGGTTAGCCTCCTTGAGTGCGCTTCTCCTGAAGCAAGGGTGCACTGCGGACAAGCAATACCCACGGAGCTAACACTGCGATCTCGCGACTCGCTTCGCCGCAACGCAGCGGCGCGCTTAGGCGAAAATTGCACCAAAGCGGTATGGTGCACGCGAAAAAAGTAGAGCACAGCTCTTGAGGAAGAGGAGGGGAGGGTACGTCCATGCTCTCCCCTCCGTACCCTCCTCCTCCTGCTCCCCTCCCATTTAGCGGAAACTTTACCAAAACTTTCCCGCTAAATTTAGCAAACATTTCCCCTTTAATTTACGCGGAAAAATTTAGCGAAAACTTTCCCGCTAAATTTAGCAGATAAACTGAATTTGTGTTGAGATCACGGGACGTCAATTACCCCGCTAAATATAGCTGAAAAAGTTTCGCAAAATTTTTCAGCTAAATTTTGCGGAAAAAGTTTTCGCTAAACTTGGCGGAAAAATTTCCTCGCTAAATTTAGCAAAAAGATTTCTCCGCTAAATTCAGCAAAAACTTTTCCCGCCAGATTTAGCGGGAAAATTTTACCCTCGTGTGTCACACGTGACGTCACGTGAGCCAGTTTCATCATCCTGACATCACGTGTGACGTCATTACGTTGACGTCATCATGAGCCGTCCTAATGTTGACCTGGCTTGTGCGCCACTTGGATCCCTTCTTTGGGATTCAAGTGGCACGAGCGTTGGCTCATGCCAAGGCCGAAGGATCGCCTTCCAAAAGAGAAAGCACAAGGCGTGGTCTATAAGATAACGTGCGCAGAGTGGCCCGCCGCCTACATCGGTGAAACTAAATCCTTTCCCGAACACATGCGCCAGTACCAGAACGATGTGCGCTATCTGGATCGCGAGCGTAGCGCCGTCGCGGAACATTGTGAGGTACTTGATCGTCGGATCGACTTCGGGAACACGCATGTGATAGACACGGAGCCACATATCCGAAAACGTCTCTTCTTGGAGTCGTGGCATATTCAGAACACACCGGGGAACGTTAACAGGTCTCTCGGGGCCTTACCATCTCTTCACGTCCATGGCATGCGGCAGATTAACAAAACACCAAGTCGGTAGAAGAGGAACAAGAGGTGAATCTCTCGCTGTCCCATTCCATTGTTTGTCACCCCCGAAGAAGGGGTCAAGTCGACCCCGAAACATTGGGAACTGTTTGCTTCTGAGCTTTTGGTTTGAGTTTTCTGTTTCTTTCGGATTGTTTCCCCAAACCAGACAAATTTCTGTCGAAGATGTTTACTTTCCAGTCACACTTTGATAGAAGCGTCGGTATCGGCAAGCTCAATGTAGCTAAAACAAGTGTGCGGCGCTTTGCAACACAACCATGCGCACGTGCACAGCTAAGAAGACTGCACGCCATCTAATCTACTGAAGGCAAAACCTTTTTCTGCAGCAGTCTCCACATATACGAAAAAACCAAAAACCAGAGAGGCTCTGAGTAGCCGACGCACGCCGCGCAAGCAGTAAAAGCTTGTTTTTGAACATTTCAAAGTTTTGTGTTTGTCTTTTTAATATGAAAAGCAGCTTTGAGGCGCTGTTATTCATTAGAAAGATCACTCACAAAAACGTTATATGCGTTTCTTTAATAAATAAACGGTTTTTAATAGCCATAGATGCGAACTAACGTAGCCATTCCGTACTTCGACATAGCACTATGGTGCCTGGATCGCGTCTTTCACTGATGCGTTTTGCGCCCCATCAAACGTGGTCCCAATGTGACAACAAATGACGTCACAGAAGCCGGAGTGTCATGCTGTTGCCTGTCGCGATCCTGGCGGTTGGCCGTAGAAATGCTGGCGAAAAGCACGAGCGAACATGAGTGTCGCTGTCGTCACGGCGTCCCAGGCGTCCCAACTTCCGGGTGCTCTAGCTTCCGTGAACTGTCACAGTGGAGAGTGACCTGCAGCAGAACAGGCGTCTGCAATACGTACCACAACTATTGGGACGCCGCCAGGGTCGCGACCGGCGATAGCATGACACTTTTATGACGTCATCAGGCGAAAATCGAGGGACCACTTTTTTGCCGCGGTAAACGCACCAGTCGGAGACGCGTTCCAGGTACCATAATAGCACGTCGCATCCTACCAGCTGCGTCACAGGAGGGCGCCCGCGAGGTGGCGCCACCAGAACCACCAGCTCTAGCGTGACAAAATCGTAAAAAATAGTTATAATTCTTATTTATATCTTGCCATTACTGAGGCCAGAAATATATGTATATATATTTTAATGACAACTACAATGACTTTTATGGAGGAGTAAGGAATTGCAATAACAAAGTTTAGAACGTGAGCATTTACAGAAATTACCCAGGAAGTAACCAGCGCTTGTCTTGTCTACACCCTACTATTTTGTCTTGTTTTTTTGTGCGCTGTGTTGATTTTATTGTGTATTTGCTGCATTTTCTACCGCAATTTATGAACTTTTCTTCGTTAGAATGGACTCCATTACTCGTTTTACAGAATGTTTATGCATATTTGATTGTTTTAATTATTATTCTGCACACACCATGCCTTGGCCTTCAAAAGTTGGCCTGGCAGTATCTTCAAAATAAATAAATAAACAAATTACATTAATTCAATCTTTCGGTACTTTAAATTACTCTGCGAGAATGGACAGGGCGGGGCAGAATTTAGTTTTCGAAATTCGAACAGCTGCCTAGGTAAGTTTTGACGACAGGTGAATATTTAAAACTCTTTAGTAAATTTTAGGTAATTCGCTTATTTATTATCACTTTACATTCATACCATGACGACGACCGTCGATAAGGTTATACGGAAAGGTCAATTTCTTTATTTAAAGTACTTTCTTTTTAGATTAATTTAAGTTGTACGTGAAATACGCTGCATTTATCACTGTTTTAATCGTTACTAAGTTTCACTGTTGCATTGGTACGCAGTCTTTTTTTTGTGTGTATGTGTGCGTGTGTGTGTCTTCCTGCCTGCCTGTCGATTGCTTCTTTACAATATATACGCATCACGGACGTCAGACAATGGCACACGAACGATGCATGTGTTGACACATTGGAATGTGGAAATAGACAATTTTTCATCCCTCCCAGAATAGACTTCCTTAAGCCATCCCAGCGTGTTTGCCCGTTACGAGAGAGCTTGTCTCCCTAATTGGTTTCTAAATCTGGAAGGCCTCGTCCGCCTATTTGTCCGAGCCGATCCCGTTGTCCCCGGACTGGTTTCGTCACTGGCCGCCTTGGACGTCGAAATGACCTCGTCCCGGTGTGATTTGTAATATTTCGCTCCATCAATCCCTTTTGATGGCCACACTGGATTGAAGCATGACTTCGAATATGTTCCCCGAAAAAGCTTCCCAAAAGGAAATGTATCTTTCTATTTTCCGGTATCCGCTGCTTGCAGACATGTTAATGTCGTCCCGGTTCTATAAAAAAACGCCAACATTTCCGATTGTATTGGCAGTCCTCCGTTCCAAAAGTTCCGCGAATCTGAGTCGACAAGTTTTGCGAAGTACCTCTTCCTTGAAAAAGAGCCAAGATGTCCTTTCCGCTCGCAAGAACCAAGCTGGAAACCATTCCACGTGAATCACGACTTTTATTATTACAACACGTAACTTTCCGCTCAAAGCCCCGCCAGAAACGCAACTTTAGGAATAGTTTAGAACCCTGGTTATCTTTGATGCCTTCGTAGAAGCACAAGCAGACGATGACGCTTTTTCCGTAGCAGACGACGACTTTAACGCTTGGCTGTCTCTTCGAGAGATGGCACCACAGGCCCGGCGACGAGGATGGCGACGACCTACCGTTGTTTATTGCTGCC